GGTTGGGTGAAGTGGGTCTGGCTGGAGGGGGAGGGGGGAAGTAAAGCACAAGTGAGTCCTGCTCCAGGGATTCCATTCCCCCCCCCACACACACGCACACACACACTCCTCGAATAGTTGCGAACTGGCTGGCTGGTAGACACACTCACGCAGCCTGAGCATCTCTGCCAGCCAGGCAGTTCGCAACTACAAACTGATACACCTAATAATAATAAAACGTACCTAATGAGAAAATACCAGACACTTTTATATGTCCGGTAGTTTCTCAATTTGTTTCCCAGACAGAAGCCTCAAATACCAGACTGTCCGGTACGAAACCGGACACCTGGCAACCCTACCCCTCCTTGCACCCTCCCTCCTAGCCAGATACCCTACCCCCAGTCTGCTCCTGGTCCCGCCTCCCGGAGTGCCTGTGCGGCTCCGGGTCCCCCAAGCTTTGGCCCTGGCTGGGTAGAGGATGCAGCCGGGTGAAACAGTGAAAATGTAATTCAGTTTTCATTCTTTTTTGAATATGCATTTATATTTTTGGGCTGCAAAAAACAGTACTGAAAAAAAAAAAGTTTCAACTAAAGTAAAAAGTTTGGGAAATCCTGGTCTAGCCAGCTTTCTGTCCGTCTTACAGTCCATTTATCCAATCCATATTCCCTTAACTTGCTGGCAAGAATATTGCGGGTGATCATATCAAAAGCTTTGCTAAAGCTGGCACTGGGGGCTTTGGGAGGACCAGAAACAACTTATTTGAATATTCATCATTTGCTTAATGAATATGCAAATGAATATTACCAGTCCTCCAAAAGCTCATGAATGGATTTACTGGTCCCTGTGTCAAAAAGTTTGGAAACCCCTGGGATAGAGAATAAGACAGAGAATATCTGATTGCCTCTGTATAAAACTATGGTACACCCACATTTTGAATACTGAGTACAGATATGGTTGCCTCATCTCAAAAAAGATATTGGCATTGGAAAAGGTTCAGAAAAGGGCAACAAAAATGATTAGGGATCCCATGTGAAGAGAGATTAAAAAGACTGGGACTTTTCAGCTTAGAAAAGAGGAGACGAAGGGGGTGGGAATATGAGAGAGGTCTATAAAATCATGACTAGTATGGAAAAAGCGAACGAGGAAAAGTTATTTACTTATTCCCACAATATAAGAATTAGGGGTCACTAAATGTAATTAACAAGCAGCCGGTTTAAGATAAACAAAAGGAAGTTTTTCTTCACTCAGCACACAGTCAACCTGTGGAACTCCTTGCCAGTGGATGTGATGAAAGCTAGGACTTTAACAGGGTTCAAAAAAGAGCTGGATAGATTCATGGAGGGTAGGTCCATCAATGACTATTAGCCAGGGTGGGTTGGAATGGTGTCCCTAGCCTCTGTTTCTCTGGAAATTGGTGACAGGAGAGGGAACACGTGAGGATTACCTGTTGTTATCCCTCCCTCTGGGGCATCTGGTATTGACCACTGTCAGGAGACAGGATACTGGGTTGGATGGACTTTTGGTCTGACCTAGTACGGCCATTCTTACCCCGTTACCACCTGTGGGCGGCTTGACCCGACTCTGGCTTGTCTGCAGCAATTGAGTTTAGCATGCCGAAGGGCTGCTCTCAGTAAGCGCTTGTCTCTCTTTTTCCCAGTGCAAACTGGAGCTGGTGGTGGGAAGCCCAGCATCATGTATGGACTTGGAGCTCTACGCACCGGACGACAAATTTATAATGAAACTGGACAGCGATGAGGCCTTATTGGGATCCTACCCCATCGATGACGGCTGTAGGATACACGTAGGTATCGGGGTTGCGCCCTTAGCAGAACAGAAATGCCTCCTCCTTCGGCCTTACAGAGCCTAGTAGGTAGCCACTGATGGCAGAAACCAGGGCAGATCCGTGGTGTAGAGAGGGAACCTGCGTCTAACAATGCTGAACTGCAGTGTGTTGTATCCCTGTCATGCTGAAGACCCCACAGGACTCGGCTTTTCCTCAAGTCAAGGCAAATCTTTTTAGTTTCCTCTTGAAAGAGCAGAGATTGTAGGTCTGGGAAGGGGCTTTCAGCCACCCAAGTGGGTTGTGGGTTAGTGAATCATGTGGGTGCTTTTGAAAAACCCAACCTGGGACTTTACCCCTCTTTCCCCCCCCATGTAAGACATGGAAATGGTTCTGATTTGGCCTGTTTCTCTTTCTGGAGACCTTTTTTCAATTTAGCACCACTTGGATTCATATATCATGTCACATGTCACCCAAAACACCTTTGTATCAAACACTCTTCATAGAATCATAGGATCCTGGGGACCTCAGGAGTCATTGAGTCCAGCTCCCTGCCCGACGCAGGGCCAACCCAACTAAACCATCCCAGCCAGACTTTGTCAAGCTGGGGCTTAAAAACTTCTAAGGATGGAGGTAAAACCCCCTCCCTAGGGAACCCATCCCTTTGCTTCACTACCTCCTAGGGAAATAGTTTTTCCTAATATCCAACCTAGAACTTCCCCACTGTAACTTGAGACCATTGCTCCTTGTTCTGTCATCTGTCACTACTGAGAACAGCCTCTCTCTATCCTCGTTGGAACCTCCATTTAGGAAGTTGAAAACTGCTATCAAATAGCCCCTCTCTCTTCTCTTCTGCAGACTAAGCCCAAATCCCTCAGCCTCTCCTCATAGGCCACGTGCTCCAGCCCCCTCATCGTTTTGGTTGCCCTCGGCTGGACTCTCTCCAGTGGGACCTTTCTCAGAACTGGGTGCAATACTGTAGTTGTGGCCTCACCAGTGCAGTAATACTGGGAGTCTGTATCTACAGAGGCAGACTTGTGCTGTGGTGCTAAAACCAGGCACACTGACACTCCCACTTGGGCTCTGATGCTGGGGCAAGGGGTGGATTTCAGATCCCAGTGGGAATGTCCATGCAGCTATTTCTAGCACCGTAGTGTAGGTCTAGAACCAGGCTCTGACACACTGCTGTCGGGCTTTGTGCTGTATAGGAGGCATCGTAGGGCAGAGACATCTTGGCATGAGATGCCACTGCAGCAAACTGCATCTTTGAAACCTTGGGTCTCAGGGCTCCGTTCTCCAGGGCTGGAGATGAACGAATTGGTGTGAAGAAAAGAGGACTCATTTCCATTCCGTTCCCTAGGTGATTGACCGGAGCGGAGCCCGGATGGGCGAGTATGAGGATGTCTCGCGGGTAGAGAAGTACGAAATGTCTGCCAGCGACTACGAGAAGCGGCCAGGTAAAAGCAACCCACTTTCATGGGGTTAAAACGTTCATCCCCACGCTGAAATCTGACGCCTGATGGGTTTGGTCTCTGAGGGACCTTTTCCCATGTGTCAGCGGCAAAGCGCCTGAAAAGACCCCTGGGGTTGGCTTTTGTTGGGGATCGGTAGGGTGGAGGTCCACTGGGTGTCAGCACTGCTCCAGGTACGACTTGGTCTCTACCTGTGGCATCGTTTCTTGCTAACGAGAGAAGGATGGTGACAGTAAGATGTTACGTTGCTAGCATGATCTGGGCCCCAAATGTAGCTGTTTGATATGGAAATCACTCCAGCCAAACATGGAGAAAGTGGCTTTTTCAGTGGGGATAGACACTGTTAGGTCACAGCCTAAATGCTGGTTTCTAAGGGGAGTACAAGAGCACTGGTGAAACGTGAAACTGACCAGGGTTGTTAACACTGGGGAGGGGACTCATCACAGTCCTCAGTCGTAGATTTGGGTCTCATAATAGGTGGGAAGAAATGTTGCCATCTCCTCCCACTTCCTGAAGCCAGCCGTGTTCCCCCTCTTGCTTCCAGACTCTGTGCGCTCGTTCCTGAAGCGGAGTAAGATGGGGAAGCACAACCAGGAGGAGATGGTGAAGAAAGAGGCGGAGCAGGAGCAGAAACTTGCGGAAGAAAAGGCTCAGGCGGAGGCCATTTCAGTGGGTGCTCGGTGTGAGGTTCGGGTCTTGGGCCAGCCCAGCAAACGGGGGACAGTCATGTATGTGGGTAAGTGCTGCTGGCGCCCTGGCTCTCCGTCCTGATCGGGGGGAGGGAGGGTGATTTCCCATCTGCCAGATTACCCCTCCCTGGGTCTTCAGGAGCCTGGTGAGTCCGTGAGATGTGAGGCGGTGACAAATAACGGTGACTCCGCTTGCCGCAGGGAATCAACAGTTTGTGCAAAGGCCTCGTCTGTTCTGCTGGAATCTCATGACCAGGTGACCAGCCCCTGCCCATCTCTAGCTGCTTTCGCAAGTTGGGCTGGGTAGGGACGTGGCTTAGGAGTGTCTCGACGCTGGCCGCAGCGGCACCAGGAAGTCAAGTCAGCAGCAATTCTGTCTCTGCCGGTGGCCTGAATGCAGCTGGGAGGCTGCTTGGTGTGGAGTGACCAGGATTCAGAAGGGAGCTCTTCCTTGGGGTCAGTCCCAAGCTGGGGTGCTTAGAGGAGACACAGCATTAGCTTGAGCTGTGAGACTGCCACCGTCCTTGCCGTTTGTGACCATTCCGAATCTCACGGGCATTTAGGACTGGAAGGAACCTCCCCAGCTCATCAAGTGCAGTCCCTGCTTCCCCAAGCCACCCCCTCACATCATCCCAGTCCTCAGTTGCTCAGCTTCATCGCCAGACCGGATTGGTGGTTTGCTCCCCATCTGTGCCACACCCTCCCTCCTTCCCCTAACCTCCAGCCTCAGTTGATTCCTGGTCAGTTTCTCCCCCACCTCCTTTGGGGCCAGTGTTGGCCTTTAGCTTCAATCACTCTTCTCTCCCCCGATCCTTCCTGGTGGTACAAAGTGTATTTTGTTATCCCTGGCTTGGGGGTCATCTCATCCAGCTTCCTCCTGCAGCTTAGCTGGATGAAAAACGGCTCACTTCCTGTCCCAAACTCCACCTCGAGTAGTCACATACTGCAAAACAGCTGCTATTCTGCAGGGCAGAGCTGGGGAAGCACGTTCTGGACGGGAGACGCTTGGCTCTAACCAGTGCAAGTCTGTTCCCCTGAGTACCTTTCAGGAAATGTTTAGAAAGAGGCCTCTGCGCATGCCTAGCTGGAGGCTGCTGGCTGTGCCTTCCTGCGGCGTCGGCGTGAGAGGAGAGCTCTCGCCGGCGCTGACTCCGTCTTCGCTCTCTCTGCAGGGCTAGCGGAATTCAAACCCGGCTACTGGATTGGTATCAAGTATGACGAGCCCTTAGGGAAAAACGACGGCAGGTAAAACCCCTTCCTGTGCTTGCGTTCTGCCTTGGTGCAGATGCGTCCTCCTGCTGTGTTCCCAGTGGGAGCCTATGGTACCGCACACAACTCTGTCACTCGCGCTCTAGGGGCACCCGTTGCTAGGGCTTACACACCGCAGGTCTGCAGGTTCTCTTGCCAGTGAAAGAGCCTTACACACTAATAACCTAGGTAACCTCGACATATTAACACACACCAAAGCCAGAATGGCCACGCCAAGCACCTAGTGCTCACCGTTCCCAAGAAGGCAGATGAATTTGTGTGACGATGTTCTGGGGTTTTCCCGTCTCCTGCACCCCCGTAATGGCACGAACCGACTCCACCAGCCAGTAGAATAAAGGGAGTTTATTGCTTCTCCAGGATACAGCACAGCACAGATGTCATCTGGTTACAGGAACTGGGGCTAAGAGGCCTCAGTGCCCCCCCCTTGAGGCCTCAGCCCTCTCCCTAGCTCCTTCTCTCCTGCTTCCCAGACAGAAACTAACTAACTCTCTTCCAGCCCTGCCCCCCAGCCAGGGACGGCATTCCACCTTCCTTTGTTTCTCTCCCTGGGGGGTAGCTGGTCAGACAGGTTGAGAGACTCCTTTTGCATAATGACTCACCCCCTGCCCTGCTGGGCCATGCTGCAGCCAGCAAGTTACCCCCCCCACTACGTCACAACTTGTCTTGAGGACCAGTCAGGGTCAGATCCATCTGGGGGGGGGCTCCTGTTTTCACACGGTGTCATTGGCACAAGGTTGAGGTCAGGTAGCTCTAATCCTACAGCTGTGTCCTGGAATTGAGTCCCCAATGAACTTCCTTTTTGGGCCCCAGTTTCTAGAGTGAAACTTGAGTCCTACTAGACAATTATTTTACACAAATGTTACTAGCCAGTCTGAAGCATAGTGTATTGTACTTCTCTAACCAATCATACCCCCCCCCACCTTATTTGATTTACACTGAGCAAAATTAATTATACAGCAGACTAATCATTAACGAACCCGACAGACATTGGGAAATGGGGACCATTATGACAGACCAATAAAGAACTGAGGCTCTCACAACCCCAGCTGGTAATAAGTAGTTTCCTGCCTGACAGAAAGCGTTCCATCTAAATTGTCTTGACTCATTCTAAGCTGTTTCTTTATCTGGTGACAGCAGATTCTGTTAGGACAGCGTCTCCTTACCAGCCCAGTACGACGCTCCTTTAATGTAATTGAGATTGAATGTGAGGATTTGACTTCCTGCTTCTCAGCTAACAGCTGTTGCTCTTTGAGTCTGGCCACAGAGGAAGGCTTTAGGTCAGGGGCGGGGAACCTTTTTTGGGTCGGGGAGCCACTGACCCATAGAAAAATCAGTCGAGCTGCCTGCAAGTGAGAAGCAAAAATAGCCAAACAACCCCTCACTGACGTGGCCCCCGACTGAGAAGGAAACCGACACTCCCCATGTTCCCCTCGCACCCCAGAGCTGCGGGGGTCAGGCTAGTAGATTTTGTGTGCTCCAAGTCTGTGGATCCAGGGAAACTCGGGGGCCACAGTCAGCCCTCTCATCCCTTATGTTTCCCACCCCTGCTGTAGGCCTTACAGTATGGCTACAGAAAAGGCCATATCCTTGCACTTAAACCTGCTCCAAGCCAGGCTCGCTGGATGGAAACGAGCACAGACAAGGAGCTAGGATGCCTCACCCCGGACTTGCCACATCACCTCACTCCATTTCTGTGACCGTGCCTTGGAGTGAAGGCCACCCTAAAAGCAGCGTGTCGGGCAGTGGTCTGATCTGTGTGGGCCAAACGCATCCCCAGGCGTTCACTGCCCTGGCTCATGTGGCACGGCTGGGAGAGGCCCTGCCCCTTATTTGAAGCCCTGCCCCTTTTTTGAGGCCCTGTTCCCACGGGGAGGTGGGGCAATGCACCATGCGTGTGTTCCCACCTCCCAGCCATGGGGAGAGGAAGGGAGCAGGCAGGTGTATGCTCGCTCCAGCCCGGGAGGAGGGTGCACCGTATGGCCTGGGCCAGCCCCGGAGCACTGTGGGAAGGAGGAGGGTATGCTGCGCCATGTGGCCCAGCATCCTCAGCCCCGGAGCACTGTGGGAAGGAGGAGGGTATGCCGCGCCATGTGGCCCAGCACCCTCAGCCCCGGAGCACTGTGGGAAGGAGGAGGGTATGCCGTGCCATGTGGCCCAGCCTCAGCCCTGGAGCACTGTGGGAAGGAGAGGGTGTTCCACACAGCGTGGCCTCTCCAGCCTCATGGAGGAAGGCGAGCAGAGGGCACAGGGCTTAGCCCAGCCTCTCCCGGAGCATGGGGAAGGCGAGCACCAGGGCAGCAACGCTCCTGCAGGCGCTCTGGGGGTGGGGAGTGGGCGGGGCCAGGCTGGCAGTTTGGGAAGGCAGAGCCTTCCCCTGCCTCCCATACCGGGTGCCCACAGGCATCTCCCTGGGGTGGCCCTCCCCTTCCCTCAAGGCTGTTACCCGGCCCCCGAGGGGGGCTGCAGTCGGAGCTCAGTGACCGGTGGGGCAGGCGCAGGGGAAGGGTGGGCTGGGCGGAGCCGCTGCCGCTCTCATTCCCGACTCTACCTCTTCCCAGCGTCAACGGGAAGCAGTACTTCCAGTGCCAGCCCAAGTACGGCGCCTTCGTGAAGCCCCAGTACATCACAGTAGGGGACTTCCCCGAGGAGAGCTATGGACTGGACGACGAAATGTGACGGGGAGACGGGAGTCCACGTGGCCATCGACGTGCCGCGGTGTCTGGGCTGCAGGGCGCAGACCCTGCCAGAGGGCCTCTAGGTGAGGGAGCGGATGTGACAAGCAGCTGTCTTTTAGTTCTTCTGATTGTATCTCTCTGTTCTGTGAAAGGTGCCACGTCCCTTTGTGTTTTCTCCCTCCCCTCCATACGCACCTGCTTCGTGCAGTGACACTAATAAAACTGCCTGGGAGGAACTGGCTGTGCAGCTTAGCCGTGCTCCTCTCGTGTGCCGAGATCCGGCCCAGGGCTTCGCGGAGCCTCCGAGTGGTGGTTGGAATGAGGGCGCCAGGAATCCGCGACGTAGAGGTGCGCCTATTTAAGCCCATGGGTGGATGTGGGCTGGGTGAAGGGGTTAAAAGGCAGGGTGCTGAGAAATAAAGTGGGGTGTGTGTGTGAGTAGCGTAACTGAGCGTGTGTTTAGCTTCCTCGCTCTCTAGCCAAGTGTCCTAAACCCCAGACCCCTCATGCAGCCTGCGACGTTTGGGTTAATTCACATGCCTTTGTCCTTCAGCTTTGCTTAGTTGAGGCTTGTCACCCTACTAACACGTCTGCTGTGTTTCCATTTGAACACCTCTGTACAATCCGATTCCCCCCTCCACTCCAAGCAGAGTCCTGGCCCTGTAAAGGGAGACGTGCCAGAGCCTCCCTGAAGTCCATTAAGGACCCAGCTCTTGATTTTTTTTTTAACATGGAAGGTGCCCAGATGCTAGGGTGATGGGCAGCATTATAAACCTGAATGGGTCTTAATTCTTAGGCCGACAGGAGCATAAACCCCTGGTACGAGCGCTAGGTAAGGATGCTGCGGTTTACACTGTTCACTGCTGGCTGACTGTTTCAAGCTGCAGTAAACCTCTTCTGGGCGGTGTCTTGGCCAGATGAGACAGCCCCGAATTCTTGGCCATTTCCTGTCACCCTGCGCTCCAGCGGCTGCAGTGACCAGAGCAGGCTACGGCGCGTTGTCAGGTTTTCAGCACTCCTCGCGTTGCCCTTATGCACTAAGTAATAGTCTGTGCGAAGCTCTCCCTTTCCTGGGGGCCTGATTGTAACTGCAGACAGGGGTCGTTAAGGGGACGGGCTACTCCCCAAAATAATAGTCTAGTGGCAGGTGACTAAGCCGCTCTCACTGCTGAAAGTGCTTCTGGATGCTTTGCAGCTGCACCCCACCGGCGTGTGGCTGGGCAGTGCAAACCTTCCCTGCCTCTTGTCTGGCGCCTGTCGTGTTCAGCGTCCAGCCGAGAGTTCCCCAGCCCCCCTGCGGAGCGCTCACGGCACAGCGAGGGACGCCTCCCTGCAGCTTGTATCCCTGCCCACCGCCAGGCTGATTCGGGGCTCTCCTGCAGCGCGGCCCCGTCCCCATGGCGCCGGCCTGTTGGAGCAGAGGGAAAGCTTCCAGGGAAGGGCGTGGCCGAGAGCTCGGCCGGCAGCCGCTTTCCCAAGTGCACCAGCTGCGTCACGAGGGGCGTGAGCGTGACGAGCAGGGTGAGTCCTCCAGCACGGAGCCGGCTGATGTGGCAATTTACGGTGCAGGCCTGATTGGGTGGGGGTCCAGGCAGGTCCTTTCTCCAGAGCAGATCGGAAAGGCAAGTCCCCCGAGAGCCGCATCGCACTTCCCCACAACTGCCTGGAGGACCCCGCTCCCTTGTTGGGAGTGGAGAGGGCTGAAGGCTGTTTCCTGTAGAAACTCCTCCCACCCCTGCAGGCCTTCTCCCCCCAGTTCCACTGAGCGCTCTGGGCATGGATCAGACCTGGGACAGCTGTTACTCCATCTCGGCATCTCCCCTCCACTGCCTCAGCTAAAAGCCAGTTCTTCCTGCTGCAGCCTTGGCTAACATAGAGTCCACCGCTATATTGTCCAGCCACCACTGGAGGGAGACCGGAAACAGCCCTATGGGACCAGACCAATGGTCATAGACTAGGTCATCAAGTCCAGCCCCTTGCTCTAGGCAGGACCAATCCCAACTAGATCAACCCAGCCAGGGCTTTGTCCAGCCGGGACTTAGACACCTCTAGGGACGGTGGTTCCACCCCCTCCCTAGGGAACCCAGCCCAGCGCTTCCCCACCCTCCTAAGGAAACAGTTTGTCCTCATACCCAGCCTAGACCTCTCAGTGTCCAGGCCTAACCCAGCGTCCTGTCTTCTGGCAGTGGCCAGTGCCAGGTGCTTCAGAGGGAATGAACAGATCAGGGCAACTCTCCAGTGATCTCTGCCCTGTCCTCCATTCCCAGCTTCTGGCAGTCGGGCCAGGAGTATCCGGAGCGTGGGGGCCGTGTCCCCGATCATCCTGGCAAGCAGCCATGGAGGGACTCATGGAGTTACTTCTTTTTTTAACCCAGTTTTAGTCTTGCCCTTCGCAGCATCCCTGACACAGAGAAGAGTTTCCTTTGCCTTGTTCTAAGCAGAGCAGTCACATTAGTGGTTCCTGAGATGAAGGAAAAGCGGGGCATGCAAGTAGGTCTAGGGATTCAAGTCTCGCACCTTAATTTGGTCCAGCACTGGCTGTGGGGGGTGATCCATGGCCTCTGCCTTGTGTGACATGGTAACTAGCAAACGCCCAGTCTGCATAGGGTGTGATTGCTAGCTTTCCCCCTCCCCCAATTGCTCTGCCCTTGTGTCACTGTCCTGCGAGGTCTGGGCCTCCCTGTGAGTCGTGCGAACTCCAGAGTTACAAAGAACGGCTTGGGCAGTGCAGTCCAACGCGGCACGGTCCAGATCAAATCCACACCGGCTTTGTACCTTTCGAAAAGCTAAAACCTTCTGGAAATGTAGAGGAGATTCAGTTGGGAGCCCTCGAACCGGCCCTCGGTGGCCACATTGTCATTGCATGGGCAGGCTGGGAGCTGCTCGGAGCAGTGGTTCTTGCAGCAGAGCAGCCCGGGGTCAGTTTCACAGTCGGGCAGCGTGGGGTGTATATGGAAAGCAAGTGAGGGCGAGAATGTGGCAGGCCGCCTGTTCGGAATCCGTTTCAGCTGTGTGTTTCACCGGACGAGGGTGGCTCTGCCTTGGGGGTCAATCCCCACTGGCTGAGATGTCCATTTTTAACAACTGTGCTGTAATGTGGGGCTCACCCTGTTCCTTCTCCGCGCTGGGCGTCTCTTCCCAAGCCCTCCCGCTCTGCACAGAGTGTAGTTAAACTGCACACCCAGCGGGGCTGCCAGCTGTGAGTGGGGGTTTTTAATGGGGGGCTTTGATTTTTCAGTGGCCCAAGCTGAGTCCTGTTACAGGGGTCTGATCTTTGGGAAGCGCAGAATATCGCCGAGCCTCATTTGCATACCTAATGAGCCACCATTTTATTCAGAAGAGGCTCTTGCGCAAGAAGGAGCGTCTACACTGCACCAGCTGTCTGAAAAATTAGGCTCTCACTTCAGACACCCCCAATTGCTTGTCATGCCTGACAAGTCTTAACATGAGGCGATGGTGGCTTCATGGAGCCAGTGACTTGCTGCTGGTAGCAACAAAAGGGAACTAAGGAAGGCTTGTTCTGTGCGTCCAGCTCGCAGCCAGTCAAAACCCGCTGCGAATGCCTGGTGCCCTTTGGAGTCCTTTGCAAACTGCAGTGGTGTTGTGCTCTGTCCCTGCTCCCACGCTAGTTGCTTGTGGAAGAGCACAGCCGGAACCTTGCTTTGCTCTGCTAATACTGCCACTGACGTAGACCCTAGCAGCCGAGGATGGGTTCAGCTGCCCTGCTGGCGGCTCCTGCATCGCTTGTAAACACACTCCCCAAGGCTCCCGCATGTCTTGTGCGGCTGACACAGGAGTCACAAGCGGCTTCATGGGAGCTTTTGTGGGTCTGGGTTATTCCTGCACCATGAAACGTGTAATTTGGCCCGTTCTTTTCATGGGTCTCCTCATGCGACTTTGGATCCAGCTGGGAAAAGTTGTATATGATTTGCTGCTGGAATTTGGTGAGTTGTATTGACCCTGAACAGGGAGAAATGCTTTCCCCCGCTGGATCGGTGACAGGATTATCTGAGCTTATGTAGACCATCGCCTGAAACCAGACTAACCCCTTGATTAAATCCCTTGTTAGTTTCCCCCGGAATGTTATGAAGTGACCCAGCAGAACTAAATGCGCAACCTGCTGGCATAACACTGTGATACCGACCTACAGCTGGGAGGGAACCGGAATCTGTCTGTTCACTATACACCCCACCTGGCCCTGTCTCCAATCAAAATCCAGGTTAGAGCTTTCACCGAGTGGGGGAAGGGGACTCTATTGGTCCTTGGCAAGTTACTCTACTGCGCTGATCTCACAATTCCCTCTTTCTCTCCACTAAAGTTGGGACTTTCCTGCCTTCTGTCACTTTCCTGGATTAAACAGTTTCTTAGAAGTGCCCCAGGTCAGTTACACATGCCCCATGTTCGTGTTTGTTTGGCTGCTTGCTGGGATTTCTAGGACTGTAACTACTGTGCTGTGTAGGTGGGCGGGAAAATGCCTTTTACCACGGACCAATTGTTCTCACTGCTTGGGATCTTCCCAATGTGTAAATGTTTCTTTTGAAATGTGGTCACTTAGCTCCTTTGGTTTGAAACCCTAAACCACCACGGATTCTGTTGTCTGGACTGGGCCTGTTTCCTCTGTGTGAACAACAATGTAGTGGTAGCTGATGTTATGCGCTCATAATGAACATATTAAAAAAATCCCAAACCAGAGTGGTCCGGCTTTTGTGCTTCATTATCAAGGGCACTACTGGCCCTCTTGCCTCATTAGTAAGTGTCTGAACGTGGGATCTACATTCTGCTGGCAACTGCACCTGTCTCCTCTCTCTCTGATCCACCAATGGTCTCCCCCTTCTGCTAGGCTTTTCCCCCCGGCTGCACCATTCCCAGTCTATCCCCATCAAGTCAGACTGTACAGACACAGCAGTATTTGTGCTTTGCTTTCTCTCCAGACATTACAAACAGGCTGTGTCTAGACTGGCAAGTTTTTCTGCAAAATCATCTGCTTTCCCGGAAAAACTTGCCAGCTGTCTACACTGGCCGCTTGAACTTCCGCAAAAGCACTGATGATCTCATGTAAGATTGTCAGTGTTTTTGTGGAAATACTAAGCTGGTCCCGTTCGGGCAAAAGTCTTTTTCCAAAAAACTTTTGCGCAAAAGGGCCAGTGTAAACAGCAGAGATTTGTTTTCTGCAAAAAAGCCCCGATCGCAAAAATGGCGATCGGGGCTTTTTTGAGGAAAAGCACGTCTAGATTGG